TAAAGTATTTTTCTGAGGTCTGTCTTATCAGGTAAATTACTGTACACAGTGTATTCATTAATTTTCATTTTCATGTAGTAAAGGCTCTATGCCTTCATAAAAGACGTACTTTTCCTTTGTTTAAGGGTATTTGGGCAGTTTATTCTCTGTTGTATTCTCAAGTAAACAATACATACAAGTACAGTACAGTATTTTCTGAGGAAACACTCATACTTATTCTTTTTTTAACCCCATTTCCAATAACCCGGCATTTTCACAAACTCGGCCACCCTTCGATCCACATTAGGCCAAGTTTTCGAGGCTCTACTGTATTGAAATTTCACAAATTTAAGAATTATTTAAGTATTTTTAACTAATAATAAATTATAAAGTTATAATTTATAAAGTTTAAATATAAATAACTTTAAATTATTGTATATTTATTAAAATTGTAAAGTTTTAAACAATTATTTTTTATATAGGGATATTTAGGACCTATAACTTGTGTTGAAATAGCTAAATTAGAAGATTTTATTGTTGCATCAGGAACAAAGGATGGTCGTATCTTTTGTCATAAAATAGCAACAGATCATTCAATACAAAAGGTATTAAAATTTTTTTATGTATTATTTTATTTAAAATATTATTTATATTTTATTTATCAAAAAAGAAATAAAACAGATTATTATACAGTGATAATATGTTTATTTCATCTTAAATATAAGACTACATAAAAGTTGACAACTTTCCAAATCTTTTTATGTTCCTTAAATTACTTTAGTTTAAATAGTTATTATTTTCAGGAAAATTTTTCCAATTACATTTACTATCTGCTAGATTAATATAATTGTATAAAAAGTGTTAATCAAAATTAATATTCTTTTTCTTTTCTTAAAACTACTTGAAATTGAATGTAGACACTTTGAATGTCTGAACAATTTAATGACAAGAAAATTGGAAAACTTAAGACTTGAATATAAATTATTTCAGAAAATAGAAAAGTTAGAAAATAGAATTAATAATACGGTAGAGCGTCGATTATCCGAATCAATTGGGGACTGGGGTTGTTTGGAAAATCGATATTTCGGATAACCGATTATGTACAAAAAAATATACTAATTTATCCCATGTTGAAATTTTTCTCTGTTGCGTGTTGCTTTGCGTTGAATTTTTGTCGATGTTAAGACTAACAAAGACTATTGTATCGTTAAACATTATTTTTTTATTTTGTACAAACAAAATAAATTTGTTGAAAAATATAAAAACAATAAAAAATTATACTTCACATGTTAATTTAGTATCAAAAACGTAAAATATTTGAGTAGCCCAAGAAATAGCCGAAGATTGCAGCGCCACAGCACTAGCGAAAATTTAAATTTGCCGACTGGAATGCNATGATCTTATGAAAACATTTTATTGGATAAGACAAAAATAATGAGAATACTACAAGAATGACACAAAAATTCAGAACAAATGAACATTTTATCTTACAAAAAGTACTTATACACATAATTGTAAGAGAAAACACATTAAAAGTACAACAAAGTATGTACATATTAATATTTTGTTGGTGATCCTTTTGAGTTCATAATTGCACTCAAATGTCATTGCATGGAATTGACCAAATTTGCTGTGAACTCAATGGGGATATTATTCCATTCCTCTTTTAAAGTGCTGAATTTGAATCATCTCTGCTTGAAATTTAGTGACTTCATATTTCCTTCTTAAGATAATTTCATGCATGCCTAATGGCGTTGATGTCAGAATTTTGTAGTGGTATTTTGAAATAATGGAGGGTGTTGTAAAATAACTATATTTGCATGTTTCAAGCCATATGGTTTGGATTATTGTCCTGCATGAAGATGTAATCATTGGAAAGTCTCATCTTCTAAATACTAATGGGCAAATTTTCTTTCAACATGTAAGTGTACTGAACCGTTGTGCCATAGATGAAATGTAGAAAGGTTACACCTATTGTATTCATACACCTCCAAACATACACTGCTTCCCCACTATGTTTCACTTTGGAAAAAATGCTTTGTTTGTTTACTTCTGTATTTGATTTATGCCACAGCAGACACTTTCCATCTGACTGGAATATGTTGAACTTACTTTTATTCAGGAATGTCTTTATTCCAGACAATACAATAATTATATATACAGTATAGTTATTGACAATGCATGGAAGCTTCCACCCTCAGAGTGATGTGTGTAGCATTCTCACCAGCAACTCCCCAGGACACAACATCCAGTTACTTACCAGTCTGGGAACAGTCTGCGAGATGCAGACTTTGTAAAGATAAGAATGAAACAATTGATCACCTGATCAGTGTATGTAGCAAAAATCACACAAACTGAATACAAAAAAGAGGCACAATAAGATTTTCCAAATGATACATGATCACTGTGCAAAAAGTACATCATCAAAATAGCAAGTTACTGGTATGAACACAATGTAGAGAAAGTGATTGAAAATGAATAAGTCAAGATACTTTGGGATTTTAGACTACAAACTGACAAACATATGGATCATCTTCATAATTGACAGATTTATACATAAGTGACATAATTATCTGACCTCACAGTAGCTGAAAAAAAAAAAGGTTTATTTAATTGACATTGCAATCTCAAGCGATCCAAGGATTGTTGAAAAAAACCAAGAAAAACTGAATACCTACTAAGATTTAGTAATTGAGATAACACAACTGTGGAACAAAAGCACCAAAATTGTACCAATTGTGATAGAGGCCTTGAGCTGACAAAATATCTAGAGGAACTTCACATAATGGACTTTTTTGATGTTTGATTTACAAAAACTGATATTTTTGGAACTTCTTACATACTACAAAAATATCTGAGAGATGCCTAAGCCCTGAGATGACTGAAGTAACCTGGGATTCAGGTTACTTCAGTCAGTATCAGTCTGTGGCAGGTGATAACCCTACCAGTCACACTACAGACTGAGACTTCCTGCTTTGGATTTTTTGTTATAATTATTGTATTATAGGCCTATATACATTTAGTTTTAAATTAACTGTTAATGATTTTTAATTTAATTTTTATCAGGTAAATTAAAAATTTTAATTTATTAATAACAAATAGTTTCATAAAATAACATAAAAACATGGTATAGAAGTCATGCTAACACACTTGCTTGAGAGAAAAAAGAGTAAATCAACCAAAAACAACATTAAGTTGCTTGATGACAATATTTATATGAATATCGAAAGCACTAGCAAAAGAATTAAAAAACCCCTTTAACACTGTTTTTTGTTGATTTACTTTTTTTTTTCTCTCAAACAAATAGTTTATAGTGATTCATAAAATACTTGCTACAAATATTTTATGAATCATTTTTACTGGAATATTTATTCCAGTAAGAATGAATAAAAATTGAGCTGTGCTTATAATATATTAAGGCTTAATATTAATAATAATGTTATTTGTTTTTCATTTAGGAATATACACTATTAGTATTTATGGAAGTCCATTTTAATTTATCACTATTTAAAAAATGTCTGAACTCACTGCATTAGAAGAATCTGTTGAGAAAAAGTCATCTTCAAATAAAGATTCTGGTAAAGAATATATATTAGATAATAATTCAGCAAAGTCATTCTACAATATGGAATTAAATCTTAAAGAATATTCATCTATGAACTATTTGCTAAAACATATCCCACAGAAAGGACAAAAAGGATTAAATATTTTTGATATAGAACTAACATGTGTTACATCTTGCTTGGAGTTTATTGTTTTAGGATCAAATGTTGGAATTGTATATCTTTTTGCCAGAAAAAATCATAACTTAATTCGTTTAAGATGTGAGGTATGTATTTAATTTAATTTTATGAAATCTGAAGTATTTGTAAAATAAATTTCAGAAACAATCATTCTTTTCAAAACTTCTTGCAGTTAACAGAAAAATCTGAAAATTTTAAATACGTATACAGGATGTTCACTATAAAATTTATCTAGGTACAAAAGTGATCTTTCTAGAATTGCAGAGTTAGGCATAAGGTGCATTAGTATCACTCAGGAATCTACTGATCTATCAGGAATTCAGGAATATTTTGAGAGACCTCCTTCTATTGACCTTAATCTATTACAGTGATATAGCCCTTCCAAGTTCCAGCACTTTTAAGCAACAATGATAAAACTTTAAAAAAACCAATTTATTTCAATTTATAATTACCACTGGTGACCAAGCTGTTGATGCAGCAGGACCCAGAATGGCAGCACATTATCCGTCAAAAACCAGAACAATTGCTGCAATAACATGGAAGTTTTACATGCAGCAAACTTGACATCTCCAAGTCATCAATAGTAATGTAAAAGCATATTTTTTAAGAGTTAAACAAAACTTTTATGTGATATTTATAGCTTGATTATTTCACAAATCCTTTCTGTTTGATATTTAAATTTATTCTAAGTAAAATTTTGTTTTGATGTAATGAAACCAATCAGTACAGGATAAATGAAAGGCAAGTTTAATTACTTCAGTGGGCAAGAGGGGATATGGTGTATCTGCAGTCTGGACATACAGTACCTTTAAATGCAGATGATTTGGGATGGGGAGGGGTTAAAAATATAAAAGTTATGAACATCTCGTTCTTAAGAATACCAAAACTACTAATTTTGAAAATACATAACCTACAAGGCTACATCCCTCCTAGGGGTTTCATCATGATTGCAAGAGGGCCATGGCATTAAGATGGGAATCTATAGGAGACCCAAGATCAAATCTGGGCAAGCAACCCCAGGAATTTTTCATTGGCAATCTGTCAAGTCCCATCTCTCACCACTTAGTCACTCTATTGATGCTATGGCTGAATCCATGATGGATACTGGAAAAACCCTTTTAGTGCCCACAGAGTGAAAAAAACACAGACAGACACTTTTACATGCTACTTTCAACACCAATGTTTAATAAATATTACATAAATTGAAGAAAACATGTTTTTGGCCCCTCTTGAATTATAAGAACTTTTTTATACTCTTTAAAATGAGCTTGTACATATGTTTTGTATAGATTTACATAGACAAACAAAGCATACTGTATCTTAGAGGCTGTCCATAAATTACATCCACATTTTTCTTGAAATTTTTACTCTCCCACCACCATTATCCCAGTTTGTTCAAGTTTCCATAACCCCTCCCGTCTTTAGACATCCAACAAAACTCAACCTCCTTCAAAATCTCTATCACTTTATGAATAATTAAATGTATAAACTGTGTAAAATTTAATGAAATAAAATGGACGTCTAATGAACTTTAAAAGAAAAATATATAAAAATAAAAAGAATGAGATGTGCATTGGGAAAGTTTTATGGCCACCCAACAAGAATTGTACTTGGTATTGATTGGAATTTGAATCTAAATCCCATTAACTGGGAGTAGTCAGCCCATATTCATCCTAGTGACTCAAGTTGAGTCACTAGGATGAATATGGGCTGACTACTCCCAGTTAATGGCTAATGGGCTGACTGCATTAAGATAGCAGTCACTCAAACTAGTGACTTCTATCTTAATATCACACACATGGCAGATGAATGATTCAATAATTTGCTGTTAGAGTAACTACAGTAGATTTGATATTAATGTG